TTATAGATTGATAATTATTAATCCACTTTACAAAGAGGAAAACTGAGGAACAGAGAGGAAAAGTGGATTTCTCAATACTATAAAGAGTTAGTATTTGACCAAAGAACAAAACTGGCAACCCGATTTCTAGCCATATGCTCCAAAAAGTCAACCACTGCTTCTGCAACATTTGATGAATTGGAATGGTAAAAATAACATGGCAGAGATTTCAGTGTATGACTTTCATAACTAAAAAATGAGGTATTTAAAAAAGAAAAAAAACCTTTTAAAGGCACTGAGAGCTAGATTAGCACCTAAAGTCAATTCAACAAGTGTATATTAAGCACTTGTGATTTTCCAGGCATTGTGCTAAGTGCTGAGGATAAAAAAAGCTCTCATCTTATTAAAAACAAAAATTCCTGTGTACTCCAACTATATTTAACCTAAATTATAGAAGTTCCCACTTCTCCCAGCATTGTGTAGTAAGGATAAGAACCTATCAGACTATTTCTCCCCTCCTCTTTATTATTTATCCCCCCTTCATCAAAATATATCATCTAACAAGGGAGATGATAAGCCAATGAGAAAACTTATAAGATCACAGAATCTAAGAGCTAGAACATATCTTAGAGAACTCCCTAATTTTACAGAAGTAGAAATTGAGACCCAGAGAGAAGAAATTATTTGCCCCCAGGATTACAAAGCTAGTAAGTATCACGGTCAGAATCTGAACTCAGATCCCCTGACCCTTGATTTAGTGTTCTTTCTGCCACACCACAGTGCCTTATATGGAATAGCATTAAAGAAAATGCTACACTACTCTCTTGAAGATATTAAACATATTAGAGCCATTCTCCCACTATAAGAAGAAAGGTTTGGCACAGAATAACAGGCTAGAAAATGTTTACCTGAAGGTCAGGTTCCTTTCATTGTATATTTGAGGAGATCATTTCCCAAGTACATTTCATAAGATCATAGGATTTTGACAAGGAAAGTTTATTACAGATCCCCTAGTCCAACTCCTTTTTGCTAGAAGAAGAAACTGAGGACCAGAGAAAGTGACCTGACCAAGGTCTAAAAGGGAGTAAGCAACAGAAGTGGTAGTCAAACTCTGGTCCTATGAACTCCAATGCAGCTCTCCTTTCTTTGCACTGATCCTTCTTCCTCTTCTTCTGCACCGTCCTCCTCCCCACAACAAAAGACCACTGGTCCTGCTTCCAGCCCAGCCCTCACAAACATCATCCAGGGAAGCAATTTCTGTGGAGCAGGGACCAGCCACCCCTACCAACTGCCAACTATACACATGGCAGGCAAACCAGCCTGATGAAGCAGCAAGATACCTTGAGGGAGAGACAAGAGACAGCAAGTATATGCTAGGCAAGTTGGGCCATCACCACCATCTCCCCACAGACTCCAGGAAAGCCAGGACCCTGAATCCAAGAGCCTTGGAAATAGCAATGCTTCCAGCCCAGTGCCCTCAACCATCATCCTGAGATGCAACAACCCCTGTTCAGACAAAGCCTGGCACTGGCCTCTGCCAAGGGCTATCGCCACAGCTACTGAAGACTCAGAAAAGGAAGTCTTTGCCATCAAAGTCCCTGGCACTGTCAAATGGTTCAACATATGAACCCAGTCTGATTTTCTCAGTGAAAATTACTTTAAAGAAGAGGCATTAACATCTGCTTTGCTTCTGCACCCTAAGGACCGTGGGACTTTTCCATCTGACTTGCAGCTGAAAACTTCCTATGTGTTGTCTCCTCTGTAAGCACATGAGCTCCTTGAGAAATACAAACTGTCTTCCTTTTCTTTCTATAACACAGAGCTTAACACAATGCTTTACACACAGTAAGTGCTTAGTAAATGCTTCTTTCACTCATTTACATCTTGGATAACTTCTTTTTTTTTTTTCTTTTTTTTGCTAAGGCAATTGGGGTTAAGTGACTTGCCCAGAGTCACACAGCTAGTGAGTGTTATATGTCTGAGGTCAGATTTGAACTCAGGTCCTCCTGACTCCAAGGCCAGTGCTCTATCCACTGCAACACCTAGTTGCCCACAGATAACTCCTTTTCAAAGTACCAGAGCAGTAAGGCACAGAGAAGGAGAGGGTGTGAAGAAGAGAATGGCATTGCTGCCCTTTCCCCCTTACCTTCCCAGATGTTTTTCATGTGTATAGTTAAACCAGTCCTACAGGGAAGGAGATTGACTGTAGAGAGCCATGTTGAGGCTTTATTTTCTCCAGGGATCCTTGGTGACGTGATCAGAAGAGCAATGGACTCTAAGCCAGAAGCCATTGACGTAAGCTACAACTCCACTAATTACTACTTTGGGCCACATTTCCTCACCTATTAAATGAAGGTGAGCCTTCACTCTTCAAGGGCCCTTCTAGTTCTAAGTTCTAGTATCCTAAAATTCAAGACTATTTTCTTTCCACCCATCCAACCATGGTGTAGTCGAGTGTCCTCCAGAACAAAGCTCAGCCAAACAAATAGCTAATTAACAAACACATCTTCTTTTCTCCCCCACAGGGAGTTCAGGGAAGCAGTTTTAAAAAATCATATGGTCTATCCAAGATTTCTTGACACTATCAAGAAGCCTTTCCTCTTGAGTAAGAGTTCAACCTCAGGCCTCCTGTCGCTCCCTCCTCATCCCCTTCCTAACATTAACCACTCTTCCAGCATTTTTGTAATACTGCTGCCAGCTGCTCTCTTTCCCCATTTCCCCCACCCCCTCTCCAAGCCTGCTCTTTCCATAATTTTATTTTAAAGTTCTCTCGGAGCACCCCAGATTGGCCCGTTGCTGCTTGCACAGATCACTGGCTCTTGAAGCCCTAAGCCAGCTAAAGATTTTTCAACAGGGCAAAGGAGGAAAGAAAGCCTGAAAATGAAAACAGAAGACCTTGAAGAAAGGGAAGGCAAACAGGACAACAAACAGGGATTTTTCTTCCTCACATTCTTTCCCAAATGAAGAGAGATTTTTACCACATATGCAGAATATTCCCCAAAAGCAGATGTACTTCACTTTCCATATAAACTATATCTGCTTTGCCTATTATTTCCCTTACCCCGATATACTTTCTAGGACAGGGGTATATGTGATAATATCTTCTTTGTGAAGTGACATACAACCACGTCATCACTGAGCAATGATCCTGGCACAGCTTGCTTTTTGTTTCATACAACTCATGCATTTAAACCTTTATGCCCCCAGGGTCTGCTCTATTTAACATCCAAAATTATTTTTTCCCAACATGTTGTTAGTACTAGATTCCCAATACCAGTCATATTCTTTCAAAAAAGTGAGTTCTATCTAACAGGTCTACTATGCACTTCAGAAAGACCACATCTTAAAACTGCTACACTACACACAGGGTTTTATTATATTTTGCTTTGTTTGGGGTTGGTGTATGTGTGTATACATGCATATATATGTATACACACATATGTATATATGTGTGTATACAGTATATACTAAACAAATAATATATATATATATGTATATACTAATAGCTGAATTATATGGGCATTCCTTTGAATGGTGCATTTTGGGTTTCACAAAGCAAACTTGTCTGTCTCGTCCCTGTATATTATTCTGTATCTTTCAAATTGTGATTTGAACTAGAAATGCTTCTTAAAAGCCAAACATACAGTCACGTCACCTGGTTATGGCTCCTGACTGCAAAACAGTAATGCTAGCTTCAAGAAGGAGAGGAATAATCAAATGGAATTCTCTCTTCTTTAAGGTCGCCTATTCCTACAAGTAGGTCATGGACTTGAAACTAATTGATTTGTATCTAAAACAAACCATCCTCTAGGAGAGTAAAGACTTTTAATAACACCAAAATTATGACTCACGGCATTTGTATTGTTATGTGGAAGTGATATTCAGTCATTGGAAGCCTAGGCAGCAGGACACAATGAAATGTAGAAAAAGCTAATGAAAAATTGCCAGGTTGGCGCAAAAAAAAAAAAAAGCCTCTTTGATTCTATTTGCAATTCTGATCAAAAACACTTTGAGATGAAGATCAAAAGTCCTCTATTTATAAATAAGTGAAGATCTGATATTCAAGTCTGTTTTTAAGAAAAAACATTTCCAGCCTTCCCAGCTAAGGTACTTAAATGGGTACACATAGGTAAACTTTATGAAGAGCATGAAAAACTGGATATGAACTCTTTAAAAAAAATCCAATTTTGAACCTTTTTATGTGTTCTAATCCTTTCCTTTTTTTAATTTTGTACACAGCTGTCTGTTGTACTTTCTCGAATGATGCCAGATGCTGGGTTCATCAACCAAACGCAGGAAAACAATGGTTTGGAAGCAATTAGAAGCATTGAGGCTGCACTGAGGCTCATATTAAAATGTGATAACACCATTCTAGTGGGAATTTCAACATGCTGCATTTCTGACATTTCTGTGCTGCCAGACAGACAAGATGTGTGGAAGCGCACAGTGATCAAGGAGGTAACACACTGGAATTTATTTCTGGAGCAAATGAAGGATTAGCTGGCTTGGAACACTCACAAGGCTTTTATCATGGCCCCAGCTTCCATCTTGTTTGAATGCCAGTGGATGCTTCCATTTTCATCAGTCACTTGAGGTGCAAAAAAAAAAGTGTATTTTCCTGTTCCTCGAAAACAATCCTGCAGCAATTCACTCAGAAGGCAAAAGCATCAGGACCTCCTGTTGCTAATAAGCAGGAGTGCCCAGCAGGGTTAGGTTGGATTAGGCACACCACTGAGATCCAGGAGACCCTAAAATCAGAGATGTGGAGCCAGAAGGGACCTTGGAGATCTTCTAATCCAACACCCTCATTTTACAGAAGAGAAAACTGAGGCCCATGAGGAAAGGGGCAACAGGATGTAGGATGATTAATACGCCACCAAATTTCCCCTGAAAAACAGTTAATGTTATTTAGTGGAGGAACCTGTCTCAATAAAATAGAAGAACCTTAGAACTGGAAACTAGTACCCAGCCTACCAGCCACACTGAGGGAATAAAGTCACAAACAGGTAAGTAATACTCACCTCGGGGCTGGAAATCCAAGCGGTATCTGAAATACAAAGAAAAGAAAGCAGATAATTATTTGTTAAAAGTAACTTAATCATTTTTTTCTTAATTTGGTTTGGCCATAAGCAAGTGTAGAACCTGCACCAAAGAGACATCTGATATTCAGAGAATGACTAAAATGGTTACTTAAGAAAAGGCAGTTCAGTGTAGTAGGGGCAAAAAACACTGAAATTAGGGTCAGGACAGAGAACTGAGTTTAAAGTCTGCCTACAACACTCCAAGTTGTGTGACCATGGGTAAGTCATTCATTTGTCTGAGTCTCAATTTCCTCATTTTAAAAACAGGGATAATAAGAGCTGTGACATTTACCACATCTCATGAGAGTATATGTGAAGTGATTTGTATACTTATACCATAGTATAATACTATTCGTACTATATAAATGTTCCCTAGCAGTAACAGTGGTGGTGGTGGTGGTACTGATGATGATGATGGTGGTGATGGGTACAATAGCAGGGGTAGTAGGGGCAGCTAGATGGCACAGTGGATAGAGCACTGAATCTGGATTCAGGAGGACCTGAGTTCAAATCTGGTCTCAGACACATAACATTTACTAGCTATGTGACCCTGGGCAAGTCACTTAACCCCATTGCCTAACTCCCCCCCCAAAAAATAGTAGGAGTAGTAGTAATAATAGTAGTGGTAGCAGTAACAGTAGCAGTATACTTATTAAGGAAACATCAAAGACTTTCACTGGAATGTGACAGATGCATGAGTCTCAGGGGAGGCAGCATGGTATGGTCCAGACAGAACACTGGACCTGGAGTCTGGAAGGTCTGGATTCAAATCCTGCCTCTGATCCTTTTACCAGCTACATGGCCATAAACAAATCTTTGAATTCTTTCTCACATGCACTCTTTTAGAATATAAATTAGAGACTGAGTACTTATATATAAATGTCAGATCTAAATTCAAGCCACAGTAACTTCTTCACCTTTCCACTCCATAGCATGGTTTTTCACTCTCAGAAGTATATTATGAGGGCTACACAAGACATGAGAGATCATTTAACTCAAATTCACTTATTTTATGTAAATGTCAGATGAAATATTTGGTTTTTTTTTCAGGTGAAATATTAGTTAAGAACTTTCTACCAAAAATTACAATGTGGATCTTCCTCCTTGGGACTGAAAAAAAGTGATACCTTAAGTTTCCTCAAGTTCAGGATCAAGAAAAAAGTTTCAAATTTAACTTTTCCCCCTAGTGGTTCTCTTCAGCTGATACCTTTAAATGTTTCTGTCCAAAGTGTACCTGAAGGTTCTCATTCTCATATAAATGGTATTTCTCAAACTCTTTTCTCTCAACCCCTTTACACTCTTAAAAATTTTTGAGGACTTCCCAAAGAATTTTTGTTTTTGTAGGTTAGACTTAGTACTATTATGAAGATAGTTTTGACCTCGCAAATCCCCTTAAAGGATCTCATAGACCCGTCCCAACCACTCTTTGAGAACCTCTGACATAAAACAATAGGATCAATTATCCTAATATTTTTTACTTCTTTGCATTGTTTGACACTGCTGACCACTACCTTCCCTTGGATACTCTATTCTTCCTGGGTTTTTGTGCTAATGTTTTCCCTTGGACCTCCTCCTACCTATCTGACCATTCCTTCTCGGTCTTTGTCTTCATTCCCTGCCCCTATGCAGGGGTGGATCCCGTGGCTTGTCCTGAGTCCTCCTTTCTCTTTCAATAATCAAATGTCTGTTAGACCTGAATGTCCCCTAAGCCCCACAAAGATCACATTGAAAAGTCTGCTTGAAGGAAACACACATACACACACAAAGATATGCACACATATGTGCAAGAGGATTTTGTTTTGTTCAGACTGAAGGTCTCTGAGAATTTTATGTCATGCCCCTACATATAACTACATTGATACTTAAAGGACCTGTGGTCTCATAAATGTACAATGGTACAGATTACAACTCATAGACATATTCTCATCTTTTATGTCTCTTGGCCATAATATCCCCTAAATCCTCCACAGAGGTTCCACCAGATCTGCTGGGGGACTTTCTCCACTTCTCTTTATATTACTTGGGTACAACACCCACCTCTGTTTCTGATTGTACATTTCTTTGATGATATCTTTTATGCCACTTTGGGGGTGGGGTGGGGGTGGCACATTTCCTCATTGAAGATATACTGTATCTTACTTCCATGCAACATATGTCTCTCCTTCGCCCTTTTGGTGACCTGAAATTTTAATTCTTTGGAGACTGAGGTATTCCAAGATCCTCAGCCATATGGCAGACAACTAACATCCTTAATCTCCTCTTTGAACTTTCTGTTACAATGTAAAAATGAAGTCATCTTTCCTATGCGACATAAATAATAACAACTCACATTTTGCTTTCCCCACAACCCCAGTGAGATAGGTAATCAATCAACAATAAGCATTTATTAAGTATGTATTATGTACCATGCACTGTGCTAGGTGTGAGAGATACACAGACAAAAATGAAGTCCCTGCTCTCAAAAACCTTAATAAAATAGTGTAAGTGTTATTATATCTGTTTTACAGATGTTAGAAAGTCATTGTCTATAGAGAGCTGGCCTCAAAACCAAGAAGCCCTGGGTTTAAATCCTGTTTCAGGCATATATTCACTGTGTTACCCTGGGCAAGTCCCTTTACATCTCAGCGCCCTAGGCAACTGTCTACCTGCACTGGCAGGAGCTTCCTCATCTGAGAGTTCCCTATACCAATGAAATCACAGGTCCATTCTCCATTTGCAGATGAGGAAGCTGAGGCACAGACAGAGAAGTAAAATGGCTTGCTCAGTGTTGTACCATCACTTTCAGACCAAAATGTTTGGGGCTAAATTTTGAGAGTAAATTCAGAATGGAGAGAGAGAGAGAGAGAGAGAGAGAGAGAGAGAGAGAGGGAGAGAGAGAGGGAGAGAGAGAGAGAGAGAGATGGAACCATTTGGAAAATACCATTTCTGCACTCAATCAAAACAATTTACCTTCCCATGTTTCCCAGGCAACTGCTGTGGAAGGGTGATATTCCATATCATGTATTCCACTCTACAGCATAGTTCTAAAACTTTAGGTTTGAATTACACATAAGATAAAGCTTGGTATTTATGTTGCTTTATTAATGAAACTAAAAATCATTTTCCACCATGGGGGATTGAGGGAAGGGATCATAACATTTAAAACTAAACCCCCAATCCTTAGAGAATATGTCACGCTGGTCTTAATGAACATTTGAGGCTAGAATTCAGAACCTTGCAAGAAGATATCAAGAGAAAAAAGAGAAAGCTTCCACTACCCTCAAATCTTTTTAAATACCCAAATTCTAAGTCAATCCTTTTCCTAAAATTATTTGATTTATCAAAGAGCTTGTCTTAATACTTTTCACTCCAAATGCATTACTTATCTCACTAACACCACACACACACACACACACAAACACAAAGCTCAGAAATGCTGATACCAGCTGTCCTCTGAAAATGTGACTGCCAGCATTATGACATTCTTCTAGGTTTAGAAGAAAATAATTTTAAAATTCTTGGCCTCCCCATTATAGTTAATGGGGAGACAATTTAATGTTTTCCAGGCTACTGACCTTCTCTATCTGCTTATTTAAGGATTCATAACACAGCACAGTCATGATTTTAAAATAAGCTTCTTAAATTAGAATGATTCCAACAAAAACCAGTAAAACTGGGAAAGAAGCCTAGCCACCACACCCTTAAACATGCCCAGTCAGCATTCCATTCTGTATAGTCTGGACTACAAAGTCTAAGAAAAGACTAGACAAAGAAAACTTATTGTGATAACTTGCTGTTCATCCCAAAATGAGTGATGGGGAGGGATGAGAGTACGATAATGAAGGTGTAGAGAGAATATGAATGCTTCAGTTACCCAAAGGGGTCAGAGAATACTCTGTTCTAAATAAGGTCATTTTCCAGACAACTGAAGGTCAGTCCTTTAAACTATGACATTTTATTTAAAGAGTTTCTTATTGGAAACCTCTGTAAAATGTATTATGCACTTGTCAGCCTTAGTAAAAATAATCAATTGGCCATAATTTAATCTCCCCTTGATGACTAAGGGTCATACTTATAAATGTCAATCATTATCTGAGCTGATGCTTTCAGTGGTTATTGGCATATAAAACAGGAACTCACATCTATATAAGCATTTAAGACACACCCACCCTGTGAGACAGGTAGTTGCAGATATTATCTTCATCTCCATTTTACAGAAGAGAAAACAAGTTCATACAGGGGAAGTGCATTTTCCAAGATCAATCAGACAATGGACCTTTATAAAGTACTCATAAAGTGCCAAGCCTACTTATGGATGATACTTGTGTTGATTGCATCAAGCCCCAAGACATTACACAGCCCCCTGGAAGTTATCCATAATCGTTCAAAGGAGTTTGGCCTGTCGATCCACACAGGGATGACCAAATGGATGAGGAATGTCTATTATCAGCTTTCAACACACATATAAATGAACACCCTCATAAAACTAATCCAACAGTATGTACATCTGGAATGGACAATACAGATAGACAATGATCTGGGCCCAGAGTTGAAAATAAGAAATGTGGTCTGGGCTGCTTTTAGGAAATTCCAAAACACTTGTACTGACACCAAGTATCTAATAACAGCAGAGGCCTATCTTTTCAATGCAAATCTTTTGCCATTTTGCCAGTATTGTTGTGTGGCAGCAATACAGAGAACATTACTGCTTCAGAAGGACCAAAGGTGATCTTTACACAGATGGCAATGGAAAGGCCCATGGTGGGTGTGAGCAGGCTACAACATTTAGCCAACAAAGAGTAAGGGACATGATCAAGGAACAGTATGACACAAAGGGAAGATGAGCTGTTAACATGGCAAGAATGAGGCATGATAGGTAGACAGAAAGAATGCTCCCCTGGTTCCCCAACAATGTTGAGAGAAAACAAAAAAGGCCTACAGAATGATGGGTGTGAAAAACTTTTGGAAAAACACTGATGAGGGTAAT